TCTTGAGCTGCTCTTTGAAATCTGTCCAATTCCCTTATCTTGTAATTTCTTCCATTTGCTTCTGCTACTCTGCTATCAAGAGCAGGTTTCAGATTCTCTTCTGACATCCACTATGGTCTTTTCTTCTTTACTGCCTTCATAATAGCCTTTTGATTTCTTTATATATCATGTTTTTTTTTATGTCATCCCTCGATTCATCTAGTGTTCTGTCATTATTTGGCAAATGTGTCAAACATATGCTTTAGATGGTCTCCAAATCCAGGTGGGATGTAATCAAGATCATATTTTGGCTTTCCTAGACTTGTGTTGATTGTCTTCAGCTTCAACTCAAGCTTGCACATGAGCATTTGATTGTCTGAACTACAGTCAGCTTCTGGACTTGTTTGGCTGAAGGTATTGAGCTCTTCCATTGCCTCTCGAGTATGGCATCAGGACTGGAGGAATGCTCATTAGCAGCCTGTGATACCAAGTGTTCTGGTTACCTAGTGCCACTCTGATGAGAATATACTACTACAAATGGGATGGCCTTAACAAACAGGAGTTTATTCTCTTAGAGTTTGGAGGCTTTAAGTCTAAGTTCAAAGTGTCAGGCTCTAGGGTCTGGGTGAAAGCCCTTCAAACTTGGGGTCCAGCTCTGCATCCTGCTCCCAGCCCAATGGAGGTAGAGGTGTTTCTTCACTCAGGCAACTGCTGGCTGCTGGGATTGAGAAGCCCCAAGGTTGACAAGTAAAAAGGCACTGTCCCCATGTTACCAAACCACATGGGAAGCCATTAATTCAAGTTCATTTTAAGTCCCAAGGCCAGTAGAGCATGGCAGACATCTAAACAATGACACAGCTATATGCAGGGTACAAGTGTGCCATATGTTACAGACCATTATCCAAGGCTTCTTCTGCTTATATACAGGAAGCATACCACATTCCCTAAGACAGCTCCTCAGCTGCTCCCACTAGATTCCACCCTGGGGTTTATTACCAGTTCCATCATGGGGAATGCTATATCCAGCTGTCCAGCCACTCAAACAGGTCCAGCCGAGTTGGCCCACAAACTGAACTACCACACCAAGCAACACAATTTTGCCTGATGAAAATGAGGATGATTTGAAGCACTTACTGATGAAGATTGAATACTACAATCTGTAGTATGGATTACACCTCAATATAAGGAAACAACAATCCTCAAAACTGGACCAAATAGTAGCATTATGAAAAATGGAGAAAAGTTTGAAATTGTCAAAGACTTCATATTGCTTGAATCTATAAATAACACCAATGGAAGCATCAGTCAAGACATCAGAACATGTACTGCCTTGGGCAAATCTGCTGCAAAACTCCAGCTCTGTCCTGGAGGAGGTTCAGGCCAGAAGTCAGTTGCATGGCGAGGAGCACAGACCCAAATCCTGTGATTACTGTTACCTAGTAAAGTGTTATTCACACCTCA